GTCTATATGGATTCATCAGGTGTTACAAGGATATCAAGATCGTCATGGCAATCCTAAGCCCAATGCCCACTTAATCGGATTATTTAATAGAATTTGTAAACTGTTATACTATAAAATCAAACCAGTCTTTGTGTTTGATGGAGGTGTTCCTATGCTCAAGAAATCCACAGTTGTAAGTATATGTCATGGTATGAATCGCCATAAAAAATAATAAATATTTTATTAGTATATTTTTATGTAATGCATTTGTTTTTTCTTTTCTTTTTTATAAAGATTGACGTAGCATGCAATGTAGCAAGAGAAGTATATGTAGTAAAGTTGTTCGTCTATCTTGATTATAATATTACCTGTAGATAATTAGCACATCGTGGGAACCAGGTAGTGAGAAAAGAGTCTCCTCATTCTTTTGTGTTTGCAGGCTGCACGCAGGAAGCAGAAATCTATCGCTGCAAGTAAGGCACGAAAGATGAAGGCAGATTTGATAAATAACTTGATAAAGCATACAGTTGTGAAAAGTGTATTGAATAAGAAAAATGTGGATAAAAAGATTGAATCTTCTGAAATATCTACTAATATTTATAGTAAACCATCTGTAAACGATGTCTTCAAATTACCAAAATTAACTAATGTAGATGAAAAGGACTATATAAGTAGCGATGATTCAGATTCGTCTATACAATTAAGTCCAAGAAAGCAAACCAAGTGGATGGGCAATATTCATAGTGTAGATCTGTCTACTGCAGAATTTAAATCACTGCCTGCCGATGTGCGTTACGATATTCTTACAGATCTTAAGGAAACTAGAAAACAGAGTTCATGGGGACGTTTACATGAAATGCCTGAAGTATGTATAAATTTTATGAAATTATACTGAATTTTGAATTTTGAAATGTATATTTTTAAACTATTTTAATTTTAGGAATCAAATAAATTTTCTACTTTTCAAATGAAACGTTTATTAAAACGTAGATTTGTACAAGAATCACTAGAATCTGCTGAGAAAGAGATGGGAGGTAAAACCTTAACTTTGGATGAATTAGAAAAATTATTAACTGAACAGGGTGTGCAGACTAATAGAGACAATGCATACCGCATTGCATCAGACAGTACATCTAGAGTAATTTATATTAGTGGTAAGTTGTGAACAAATATTTGCAAATCTAAAACTCAAAAATTCTTATTTCTTTGAAAAAAAATGATGAAGTGTATTATTATTATTTTGTAGATAAAGATACGTTAATTCGAAATACCACTGAGGATACAACAAATAAGAAAGATGTCTTAAACAGAATAGATGAGGAATTTGAACCTGTTGCAGGCCCCAGTGGCATTGCAATAACTCGTAAAAACCTAAATGAATTTCAATTAAGCGATGATGATAGTGATAGTAATTTAACAAGCTTTAGCAACTCTGTACCTATTATTGAAAATATAAATGAGTATGAATTTGGTAGTGATTGGGAATCAGAAACTGAAAAAAATGAATCTTCACCGCTTCCTAAAAAATATCAGAACAAAAATATCATTAATCCTGCTTTAACATATATGTTAGAGCATAGTAGTTTAACACAAGAACAAATTATGCAACTTATAGACCAAACTAAACAAAATAGTAGCAAAAAAACTAATACTCATTCAAGTACAAGTACAAAATCATTATCTATGCTAGAACCAATTATAAACAATACAAAAAATGAGAAGGAGGAACAGCAAGAAATTACTGAAGAAAATTTAATTGGTTGTAATCAAATTGTAGAGAAAAATATACCTATATATCCATTAGAAGATTCTAATTTGGATATTTCTACAGAAAATAATAGTAGTAATTTTCAGTTTGTAGAAGACAATGATAAATTAATTTCAGATGAAGAGAAAATTGAGTGTCACTCACAACCTATTGTTGTCCCTATAACATTAGATAAACATACGACTGACTCAGATTCTGATGAATTTATTGAAATACCAGATGTTCCAATACCTAATTCAAGTATTTCAAAAGAAATTACTAAAAAACATGTTATTGAAATATCATTTAAATCCAATGAAAAAATTGAAAATGATATATTCGCAGATGTATTTAAAGAATCAAGTCAAGATATATTTTCACAATCTACCGAATCTGTTATCTCTCCATTGATAGAGCGGACTATTTCAACAAGTGTTTCTCAAGATTTAAATAAACAAAATGATAACAAAGACAATGAAGTTTCAGAAATTTCAACATTGAAAAGTTGCAACTTTTACAAAACTTCATTAGATAAAAAGACAGATTTGCATGAAGAAGGACATGCTCATATATTTCAATCAAGTAACGTGGACGAAGATCAAATTAAGAAGATTCAAAAAAGCAATATTTTTATAAATGCAGAAGTTGCTTCTGATACAGCTAAATTATCTGAGGATACAATGAATGAAAAAAAAGTTTTACCTACAAATGAGACTGAACTTTTAGAGTTAAAGGTATGGTAAATCAAAACGTTATTCGATCTGAAAGATTATAATTATCTTATTTCCTATTGACTCGTGCTTAGGTAGATTTTCTAAATGTAGGCAAATCTAGAAGATGAACAGAAACAACTCACGGAAAATATCAGTAAATTGGAGAGGCAAGCTACAGACATATCTGATCAAATAAGAATTGAGGCTCAGGTAAAACTTAATGGTCAATTTTTTCAATAAGAAATTTCTCATTCAATTCTGAAAATTATAGAATGTTATATGATTTTATAGGAGCTTTTACGTTTATTTGGTATACCATATGTTATTGCACCAATGGAAGCAGAAGCTCAGTGTGCTTATTTAGAACAGATTAAACTTACTGATGGAACGATTACAGATGACTCCGATATTTGGCTTTTTGGAGGACAATGTGTTTACAAAAATTTCTTTAATAACAACAAGAAAGTATTGCAATTTCAATTTTGTGATATACAACATCATTTTAGTAAGTATGATAAATGTATACCTTGGGAAATTAATTTTTAAATATCATAAAAGTGTAATAATTTTGATATATATATTTTCTTAGAATTGACTCGTCACCAATTGATACAATTAGCTCTTTTGGTTGGAAGTGATTATACTACAGGTATACCTGGTATTGGACCTGTAACGGCACTTGAAATATTAGCTGCATTTCCAACGCAAGGAGATAACTTATTACATGGTTTAATTAATTTCTATTTATGGATACAAAAAGATAAAGCTATAGATTCTAGTAAAAAAAGTTTACGTAACAAGTTACGAAATATAAAAATCGAGAAAGGTAATCCTATTGCTATACGTAGTTAATTATCGATTACTCTCTTTTATTTAGAGATGATTATATTTATTGAAATATGATTTACAGGTTTTCCAAGTCAAGCTGTTGTACAAGCATATATGTTTCCTTCAATAGATGAATCAAAAGAAAAATTTACATGGGGTCGACCTAATATGATTTTATTGTCAGATTATACGACCTTAAAGTTTGGATGGAGTAAGAATAAATTTAATGAGATAATAAAGCCGGTAATTAAAAGAATGGAAGAATCTAAACAGCAACAAACAATAGAATCATATTTTAAGTTAAAAGCAATACCAAAATCTATAGAAATGAATCTAAGTAAAAGAATTAAAAAAGCTGTTAATAGCTTAAATAGTGAGAATGTAGAGTTGGATATTAGTGAAACTGATATGAATAATAAGATGGAAAAAAGTGGTAACAAGCGAGTACGTAAAAAACAAAATAAAAAAGAGAATGACGACGATGTAAATCCTATTAAATCTAACAGTATAAATGAAAAGTTGACACCTAATGTATCTAACGATGATAATAAAAAAAGTATCAAAGAATATATACCACAGAGAGAAAAGGACAAAGCAAATTCTTTGAAAAAAAAGATGCACGCAATAGAAGTATTTAGAAAATCAAAATCTGGATTAGATAAAACAAAAAAGATTAAACGTAATGTTCGAAAAATAGTACAAGAAGCGAAACTTTCTGAAAGTAGCGATAGCAATTAGAAAAGTAAATGATAGAATTTATAAATGCAACACTATGTAATATATATTCGTATTGTACAATCTATATTTAATTACCATACAAGTTTTTACTTTTATTTTACGAAATGTGAAATCGACAATGAAGTCGTTATTGAGTTGAGGATCTTACACAGGTATTTGTTTTGTTTCACATATAAACAGTATCAAATAACAATATATTTTCGCATGAATTATTCTTTTATATGTCGCGAGTAATTATTTTTTCATATGTCGATGAATAAAGTAAAACTGTATTTATTATTATTGAATTGTTTCTAAAAATATAATATATTTTTTTATAAAACCATTTTCTATACTTTTAATTCAATCGATTCCATTCATCTAAAGTCACACATTAGGAATATAAGTCTGTAAACATTATTAAACAACTATTTAAGTGCAACTATCTCTAATGAATGTGCATACATATATTGTTTATACATTGTTTCATTTTTTTACCTTATCAAGTGGTACCTCTTTATTACGTTATTTAAAAGTACTGTATAATGAATTTCAATGAATGCAAACAGGAAAAATGTGTATCAGTTTATTAAAAAATATATAACGAGTTCAAATGTTAAAATATTATGTCTCAGCATATTCTGTAATGTGTGTGTATGGTAAATGCATTTATATTAACATATAATCAAATTAGTGTTCTATCATACTAATATACATAATATTATTTGAAATAATTACGGGTTTCTTGTTTTATTAGATAATACAATAAAATCACAGTTTATAATGAATATTTGTAGTACTGTCATGAAAAGATAATTATTTCGATTTTTAAGGTACTATTTATATACAGTTCATTTAGTTTTTATTCGCTTTTTGTTGTTCGTTTGTTTTTTAACATTTTTTGATGTTATGAATTAATGTATAGTTTATTTTTGTTTTATGAATATTTTATGAATATTTAATTATTTTTGTTTTCAGTCTAGGAATAAAATTTTTTATACAATTTTAATTACTTCATATTTTACTTGTTTTATATTTTGATTCACTTAAAAAAAAAAGAATTGTGCATAAAAATTAACTATTTGTGCACTTTCTGTATGAAAGGCATTTAAATGATACTAAAGCAGAAGGACACAAATCAAAATCCAGCCACACTTCCTTGCCTTCGATAATCTGAATTCGCTGTTATACCATTTTCATCATTTGCCACTGCTGTGATAGCACTTCCTATTCCCGTAAAGGTCGATACATTATGTTTAACTTCACGCAAATATTGTATGATATCGGGACAAAAACCTTTTTCTGTTTGAGCTGTCATCGGTAATAACTATATAAAAAAGAAACTTTTATTAATTTTATCTTATATTTTATATAATTTATCTATTTATGTTCTTTTATATGAAACTTCATCTTAAGATATTCGTTTTTATTAAAAAAGAAAAAATAAATAAACAATGATGTTAATTTTATAGTAATTTGATAATATTATTACCTGATGATGAATTCTATAAGAATCGATCGTTTCCTTTATATTGTATCCACCCCACAGATTTAAAATCATACAGGTAGCAATAGCGGTCGTGATTTTTGTACCGCCCGCGGCACCGATTACTAATCGAACTACTTTATCTTTACCTATCTGAAATCAATGTTGATACAATATTTTTATTAATAATTATTAATAATAATATATGTTATGGACTTAGTGATTAATACATTTATGAATGACCGTAATAAATTTATTATAGAAAACTATGTAAAAAGATGCAACTCTAATGTCGAAATTTATTACAATGTTCAAAAAATCGAATTGCTCAAAGAGAATTGAGCTTTGTTCCATTTAATAAATTAATCAATATTCATCAGGTTGCGCGATTTCACTATTTAAAATGATCGGGTATTATAAATAATGGCCTCAGTCACTTGATCTATCAAGTATATATAAAAATGTAGACTTCTGATTTAATTATGTACATTGTTATATGTTTCATTAACAGTTCTCATTTAATTAGAAAATCTTCCATAATCGATTGATCTATGTGCGTCTTTATGTACATGTTCATTATCCTTTGTTAGATGACTTTGTGAATGCGTCTGACCGATTACGAAAGACACATATGTAGAGAACCATAAGCAATATAGTTAAACCTATAATCATTGTGAATGCAACGCAATTACATCGTTTAATATAATGATTCTTAGAATTGAGTATATTTTACCGTGTCTATGTAACTATTTTCTTTGTGCTGGTTATTGGTACTTGAAGTTTCTCTCTATAAATTTTCCGTTCACTTTCGCAATATACACATAATGCACGCGCGCGTGTATGTGACCGATTTAATACTTATGAACATGCGCTATGAATGCCTCTATTATTACGTGTCTTGCTATCATAAATTTTCGAAGTTAGCATTGCTACAAGTATCGCAAACAGTTATTGAATAAATGTATTGGACATATCGATATAATGTACAAACAGGATCTAAGTAGAAGATATTTACCACTATCGTTGGGCTCATAGAACTTAAAGGCCTCTTGCCTGGTCGAATAAAATTTGCTGGTGATGGAGGAACTTCAAACCCGTTAGTTATATCAGGTGAACTGAAGTCGTCCATTTCATCATTGAATATTATACCGGTAGATTTCGAACGAATCATTGCTCCGAAACTAATATGATAAAGAAAATCAGATAAAGTCATTATTTGTTACTTTTTAAATCGATTTAAAATCTTGTTATTACATCATAAAAGTCGATCGACAGACTTACACCTGATTGATCGTAGAAGTCACCGATACCGCAGAACCATCAGGCGCCAACACAGAAACATGAGCTGTTCCAGAATCCATAGTTGTTGCCGTAACGGCGCCGTAGTGTTTAGGATCGTTACTCGTTTCGTAGTCATTGATTTCATTTTTGATTATTTTTGCATAATCCTTAGACGTTAGATTAGTTAACAAACGTTCTGTAACAATTAAAAAGTAAGCTCGTTCATAATTGTATAACAGAAGTTGTAAGGATGATAAGTCAATTCTTTCATAAATTATTTCGTCTGCTCTATTTTAACGAGTCATATGATTACGTTATGATCAATTAACTTTCCTAGGAAGAAACGATTAACCTCGTAATTTTCCTGGGAAAGATGAAAACATTGAATAGTGTTAATATAGTGCAATTCTTCATCTAGCTGTAATTGTAGAAAAAAGAATCAAATCGACAATAAAAATGGTATTAAATTAATTTTTAAGATTTGGTCGATAAATTAATTTATCTATTTTTAATTCATATAATCTTATCGAATGAACTATCTATATCTATCTTAGTCGGTAAGAATCGATATTATGTACCTTCGGTCAGAGAGAGAGAGAGGAGGGGAGGGGGAGAGAGAGGAGGGGGAGTGAGAGATGTCATAATTATGTTATCTTATCTTTAGATGAATTTAACATTCAATTACTTTGTTAACTAAATGATTTACACATTTTCTTAGCAACTCACCAATATCGACAAATTCAGGGTCACCCAACTCAGTTCTTTTTGCGTAAGCCCATTTGAACGCCTCAACGATGCGATGCCACATAATATTCTGGTTATTAATTGATACAATATTTTGAAGAATGTTGATAATGAACGCAAGAATTACTCCAGAACCAGGTGGAGGTGCTGTATAGATTGTTAAATCATCGACATTAATTTCGATCGGTTTTTTCCACTTGACACTGTAATAAAATATCCATGTTAGAAATATTGTCAGCTCGGAAGAAAAAGTCTACATCAATAATTTTATTAGCATGAAACAAGCAATATGTATATCTTAATAAATTATCTCTTTATTGTATTAATTAATTCAAATTCTAAGATAGTGATTGATTGATAACATGTGTGAATGTTCATGTGTACGTTACGACATTTAATGGAAATTAGTCGAAGTAGTATACACAAACCTATAAGTTTCAAAGTCCTCTCTGGTTATTATACCTTTAAAAGATTGAATTTCAGTAACCATTTCATCGGTCATGCTACCGTTATAAAATATATCTGGTCCATTATTTGCTATTAGTCTTAACGTTTTTGCTAATTTTGGTCTTTTTATTTTTTCACCTACCTAAAGAGAAATCAAATTTATTTGAACACTATTGTAATAAATTGATTCGTCGTATGTATTAGTTAAAACGTTAACTTACCTTCCATGGCCGTTTAGTAGCAGGATTGATAAGAATGTCGGCTAAAGTACTTTCTGCTTTAATTTTAGATTCTTTGTTAATGAGATAGGCATAAAGATAATCGTTAATAACGGAGCCTCTTAAACACAATGCTATCGTCGGCTCGAATAATTCTCTCCATTTTAATTTGCCATATTTTTTATGAGCTTCCCAGTATCCTCGTAATTCGCCTGGCACAGCTACCGCCAAACCACCTGTAAAAATAACGAATACATGTAAACAAGAGGTTATTGTTGATATTGAATAATTGATGTATTATTCGCATATTTTTTCGAATTGATTTATTTCTTCTAGATTAAAGAAAATAGTTTGAATTTTTTCGAGATTTAAGAAAGGAACTAGTACGGACGATAATAATAAATTTTGTATATATTTTTCTTAATCGAGTAATATTGTAAAAATCGTACGTATTTGATTTCATAACGTGAAAAAAAATAAAATTAAAAAATATTTACTTACCGTACATCGACAAATGTGCATCTCCGTGAAACATATTTTCCTTGGCTGCGGCAGGAGCCGTTTCTCTTGCATCCAAGTAGTCGGCCCTTCCATTTTTTGCATCCCATATTGTCATCAGGAAACCACCACCCAATCCCATACTTTTAATTAAAAATAAAAAGTGATCCATGTTAAATTTGTCTCATACCACGTAAAAAATAAATAAATTATAAAAATAAGAAAAAGAAAAAAATGAGTACAAATAATTATAAATAATGATACAAAATTTTACTTGATTAGAGTTTCTTTTTTCTCATAAAACTAAGGTATTTGCCTTTTGAAAAAACAAAGTGGTATTTTATACAAATTGAATAATATGAATTTTATACAAATCGTAAAGATTCAAAATGGATATCTCAAGTAGTTTCAAAAATAATTGTTTGTTACATTTTTTATTATATATGTTTATATGAATTGCCTACAATCGTGTCTACAAATGAAAAAGAAAAAGAAATTTCAAAGACGTACCTGTGCAACGAAGCTACCCCCTCGCAAAGAAGAGTAGCTATCGCAGCATCAACTGCACTTCCATTTTTTTTCAATATATCGCTGCCTATTTGAGCGCATTCCCGTCCATTCGTCGATACGGCTGCCTGTTTGTATGATCATCGATTATCGCGACTTGCAGTAAGATCCATTCTCTTTTCATTGATATTGCCAGTGAAGTTGCACTTTCTATCTTCGTTTCACTTATTGTCATTTGTAAGTTTATCAATTCAAAAGCGTCATTGAGCGATAATTACCTGCCTGTATCGTCCAAGTTCCGAAAGACTATTGAATTTGATGTCGCATCCTTCTCGTTGAATAATTAATATTATAATGATGGCTAATATTACAGATATGATTAACAGGACACATACACCAAATAGGAGAACTTTCTTCTTCGCTCTGTACGACATAATAAAAAATGCGTTAGTAATATTAAATAATGCGTAACTTATCGTTTTTATATACGACCTTTTTATATCGATTATAATATATAGAAATATATACATTGTATACATACAAATATAGTTATAAGATACAGAATCTGTATAGATAATATATTGAGCAATAATATATGCAAAAGATGAATTCTATGATTTTAATATTTTGATCTTTAGATGACTAAATAAAAAAGAGTGATATTTAAAAGAAACGAGTATCTAAAATGTAGACTTATTGTCTATAAAAAATGTATGCAATAAATATATTGTAAAAGATGTTCGAAATGATACCAATTAACTATAAATGTACTTGTAGATATACTTAATGAATTATAAGTAAGATATTATATATTATCTTAATTCTCAACAAGTCTTTCGATCATTTTCTAAATTAAATATATTGCTATTGTTTTATTTAATGGGAATCATTTCAATCGCTTTGAAAAATAAATTGTACGTAAACCAGATGCCTACATTTTAGATTTTCTTATTTTTGCTAAACATTACTTTCTTGTTCAAGATTATTTAAAAAACAAAATATTTATGTTATAGAATTTTTTTTTTTAATTTAAAACTTCTGTAAACATTTTTCAATAAATTTCTAGAATTATATTTTTATAAGTTAAAACACTATAATAATAAAAATATGATGATATATTTAAAACAAAATCAATAACCTTGAACAAAATTAATCAGAATATTCCTTTTAGATTAAATAATATTTTTTTTATAAATTTTTTTATCTTTAAAAATAGCAAAGATATTTTAGGTATAAACATTTAATGACTGTATAAGCTTATACTTATTTGATATATGGAAAAAGTTATTACAGATGCATGATTAAGCATGACAATGGCGTATCGAGGTCATTGAAAAATGAAATCGTAATAAAAATATCTTTAGTCACAAATATGCCATCAGATAAATATTATTTTAATTATCAGTCGTTATAATTTAATGATGTTTGTAATTGAATATATCTGTAAATACTATTTCTTGCAAGTTTTTATTTAAAAATAAAATATCTACGAATTCTATAACCATCCTCTCTATATTGGCACGTGTACACATATACGAGTGCGTTTCTAATGCAATTTAACATGCAGTGCGCATCTATCGGTATAAAATGAATGATTCGTACACGCAATCACACATATACTTGAAAGCGTTTACTATGCAAATCACAAGGATTACATAACTCCTATACACTTCATTTGATTTGCTTTACTGCATACTTATCCGTAAACTAGATACTGTTATATTCCTAGAAAGTTCGAAAAATTAATCAACGATTCGAATAAATTTGCCGAAGTTTCCTTTCTATAAAAAAGACATACGAACCTTACGAGTTACAAAATTGTAAAAAGATATGTTTACCAACAACCTTGTTTATCTTTCACAGATCTATTTTTATTTTTTTTTATCGCCGACCATAACGATGAAAACGATTGTGTAAAAGCATGAGAATTTTTTAACGACATGGATTACTTTTACCTTACTGGATTCATTTTATCAGAGAATTTATGTGTTTAAACATCTTTTCTTATCAGAAATTAATTATTATTATTATATTATTATGCTAAATCATAAGAATTTCCGAAAATGATATTACATCAAAATCAATGATATTCGCGTTATATCAAATGTTTTTCTATTTGAATTAATAATGTTGTTTTTCATAGAATTTCCTAAAAAAAATTATCTCTTAATGGATAAATGTATGTAATACTTTTCTTTATTTTATAACTGTCGACTTAATACTAACTAAACACTTAACTATAATTTCCGATAATTAGATAAAAATATCCCAGTAGAATCAGAATAAGATATTATTTCAGTCACCTTCTATATATGATCTTTCTTATATCTCGTTAAATCATTGCATATTGCGAAATATACATTTATCGAATAATGTTGAAGATAACAATACAGATATCAGTCTCATACTAAATGTCGAGCATCAATCGTGATAATGAAAACATTTGCTCGAATAATTCATATTGAATGAAATAATATAGATTAAACTAACATTAATTAAATAGATATTGATCACAATACTTTTCGAATACACGAGAATTAATTACATTGTAGAACATAAGTGTTTTTGGACAATTTATAAAATTCCCTTTAACTAAATATAGAACGGTAAATAAACATTTGTAAATAAAAAAGAATACATTTACGTTACGTGCACTATGTTGCAATAGTATTTCAAAAGTCGATAATTAAATCACTTTCCTTAGGCGTGTCAAGAACGAAGAAGGAGAAATTTACCAACCCGATCATGTTGCGGGAGCGAATGTGCCACTGAGAAACGTCTAACGTCGACTAAACATTTCCTTGAGTTGACTGTTTCTTTTATAACACGGTAGGATGCTGATTGTATCTTGTTCATTTTTATTAACATTCTTTTTCAAGATAATAATAAATTTTCAAGATAAAAATAATTAAAAAATTTTATTTATTGTTTCTCCTTTATGACATTTTATATTATTTATTTAGTATCACATTATTCACTACTTTTGTTTTTATCAATTTCATATTTGCTTATTTTCAAAATTTCGCTTTATAATTCATTGGAACATGTTCATGAATTTTATAACATTTCGTTGAACTGCTGTGTCGAAATTCTTAGGTTTAAAGAATACTTTCTCCACCAGATTCTTTGCATATATTATCATAAAATGTCAAGATTGAAGTTTATTTTTAAATTATATGCGTTAAAATTTTAATAAAATAAATCGATGAAATATATAGTTTGTAAATATAAAGTAATTCCCTTTCACTTTTATGCAGTAATATATTATAAAATTATAATCGTTATAAAGAGTAATAATAAAAAATTTAAATTAAATAAAAGAATGCAAGAATTTTACATAAATTGCTTTTAATTTTATAAATCAAATATTATAATATGATGCAATAGTAATTTGAATTGTGCATTTTTTAAATTGAATGATAGACGGTCACAAATACGATATGATTGGTTGATAAAATATCGAGCCTAGGGGAATATATTGTCATGGTAACTTTAAAGTGTTCCGTTTCACGCACCAATTATATCGACGTACAGATGGTCTTTCCATGTACGCATCAGCCGCTCTAACGGCATAACATGTATGTATGTACATCTACAGCCATTATATTCTACAGCGAATTGTTATAATTATAACAGTGATGTTTGATAAGTGAAAATGTGGTAAACAGCCAATGATATCTAATTAAAAGCAAATAACTAACCAATAATATTTATTTAGAAGAAACAGGCCAATAATGGTAGTTTTCTCATCTTTATAATTTATTATGAAGTTGAAAATATTTTGCGTGCAAAGCGCTAATGCTATGAGAGAAATACAAAATTTTCTGTTAATGTTTTATTATTCTACAATAATTTCATGTAATGGATATTTATTATATATTTAAATTAAAAACTATTTATCTTTTAATACAGATATTATGTTCTGTTTTCGTAATTTACAAATAAGCATAATAAAAAACTGATATTTACTAACACTGTTTGCTTTTTGATAGATATCATTGGTTTTTTACTAATGGTTACTTCGCCAAATTCGATAACTTGAATCAATGATTAACTCGTAGCCAGTGTAAATAGTAGTAAAATGCATATACATATGCATTATTATAATTTATTTTAATTAATATTCTGTCTGTTCCATATTTATAAATTTTTTAAAATGGTTATTGATATCACGAAAATATAGGTTAAGAATGACATATAGAGTTACATTACTGAATTGAGTTAATTGTTGATTAAAGTTAACTGAATTTGATTATAGTGGTTCTAATTTTATTAATGACTGTAAACGTATCTACATTTACAGTTTTTAATTCCTTCGCGGTTCTTTTTTTGATATAAAAATAAATTCGGCTACAAATCAATCATATTAATCATACGGATAACCTATAACCATTTACACGAAGTAATGAATAAAATTAAAGGTTTATTATGAAATAGTATATAGTTATTGTCATTTCATGTTAAAAACATTATTCCAAAGTTATATATTATAACATCCCAACAATTTTTATTCCACAGGATTAAAATAGTAAAAATAATATGTAATAATATTAAATCTTGTTAGTCATATTAACACTATAATTTTGTAAACTTAATGTTATTTACTTAAAAATAAAATTATATTATAAACTGCTTGTGTTTTTTCATTTATGAGACGACATTGTTAGCATAGAAAGCAGATATTTTTTAATGTTCATCTTATTATATACGTCGATTTGCACTAAAGAACATACAATTATTTTTTATTATTTCATGTTGCATGCAGTTTGTCAGAAAATTTCTTTTAGCACAGCATAATATAAGAGTACAAAAATTGATATAGAAAATTTAATTTAGCAGAAGACTGACTCGAGAATTATTAAAGTTATTTACATGTTCATTTTTTATTTACATCAGCATCGATACAAAGTTTGACATTACAATTAGTAGAGTTTCACATTATAAATACTTTATGTTCAAAGTATATTATTAATTTTGTAATGTTTAAATAATTGAACTGTTGTTTGAATTACAAGAATAAATATTATACATGATTATTATTGAATTAATAATTACTAGTAAAATTATGATAAATTCGTACACATGCAATATAAATCATTTAAATAAAAGTAAAATAAAAAGAATTAATTAATGTAGGATACCATTATAGACTTGCAAAGTTTACCCCTTGGGGTTCAATCGCAGATCAACTTGTCAATTATCCAAGTCATTTGTTTCTTGTTATTTATATAACTTGTTGTTATAGTGTTTTTTGTTGTTTATATAACTGATAATAATTCTAAATGTAGAATTTACACTTAATTAAATTTCATGTTAAAATAATGATGTATTTAAGATGCATCAATAGATATGTAATGTTTAATTACTTATATTTTATATATGGTAAATAGAAGTATTGTTTATTCAATAACATTATTGAACACTTATTTATATTAAAGAATTTACAATTTTTATGTTGCAGATTGTCAGAAAAATTGTTCCAAAATAGTTTATTTTCAAAGTGCTGCCACAAGAGAGAGAGAGAGAGAGAGAGAGAGAGAGAGAGAGAGAGAGAGAGAGAGAGAGAGAGAGAGAGAGAGAGAGAGAGAGAGAGAGAGAGAGAGAGAGAGAGAGAGAGAGAGAGAGAGAGAGATTTTAAATGAAAATAAATAGTAAGTTTTATGAAAATTTAATGATTTTTCTTTGTTTTTATTTTCTGTAATATTATCTATTCTCTAATATTTATAATATTTATTAATCCTTAAGCATTAATAATTTCCCTAAATAAAGCATGTATATGCTTTAATTATTAATATATATTAATAATTAATAGCGGTGAAGGTTTCTTTATGATAAATATTACTGAATAAAAATATTCTTTTTGTGTGCTACATAATATAAAAAATATTTTTAATAGTTTAATATAGTTACTTGTAGTTTTTTATTAATTCAATGAACTGTATCATGTATTTGTATCACTAAACTAAATTTCTGTTGTAATATTTGATTAATAACTTATATATATATATATATATACATACTATGTTGGTGTATTTAATAAATAATAAAAATATTTATTTTTTAATGTATTGTTATGTCTTATCTGACGTTATTGGAGATTTTTAAAAAATTGTTCTATGAATCTGGAATAACTATGAATCTAGAATATCTAAAATATTAATCTTATCTACAGTTATTAACATCTTATCTACTTTAAAGCTGTAATTCGTAAGAATGGTTTTATAAGCTGAGATGGTAAATCTAACTCACCTGAATGTACTTAAGCTTTTTTACCAGTTTTTCTTTACTCTTCTCTCATCGCTCATGTACAAAATAGGAAATGAAAACGATTTTCAATGTTTTATTTTGAGAACCGCAGTATCATTTTCATTAAATAAGATTATATTATTATCAATAGTGTATTTATTTTATTGATAATCACTGGTGGCCATCATAGATTCACAATCTATTTGATTATTTTTAACTATCTGTTAATCGAAACGTTCTGTTAATAGAAACAAATTGTTAACAATTGTCATTTTATGTTCTTTAGTTAAAACTAATAGGATTATAGCAAGGAATGCAATTTAAGCCGTGCGATAATCGAAGTATAAGCTTGTGTAACAATCGGTTTCACGTGGATTAAAGTAAATAGTGTTAGTAGGCTGTAAACTTACACTTTTCATTTTTTCATATATTATATCTTTTTTGGTGATAGTCTGCGTCTTGTAGTAATTTGTGTCAGATATGTGTCGGCACGTATTTGTTTTACACAAATGCATAAAGAATAAAAAATATAATTGAACATGTAATAATTAGTATATAAATTTTAATAATAATAATAATGATAATAATAATAATAATAATAATAATAATAATAATAATAATAATAATAATAATAATAATAAAAATAATAATAAAAGAAAAAGAAATAATAATAATAATAATAATAATAATAATAATAATAATAATAATAATAATCTCTCTCTCTTTTTTAGGCGTTCGTTTAAATGTATTTAAACATTGAAACAATTCAGCATGTTTAAAACTAAAATAACACCTAAACTAACAATTTTTAGACATAACATTGTTAAAAACTGCGTCGATTAATTCAAAATTAGTGGTTTATTTACAAAAAAGTTCAATTGCACTTTGCAACTTCATCGATGCATAAAAATGGATGAAAGTTTCATAGAATTATATAGCCATTATATGTAACATATTACCATTTAATTTTGTCATATGACATTTTTCGCTACTTCCAATTCTTTTAAAGATATAGTTCGACCTAGTTCCGTAGAAACTCTGTATGTATATATGATCTGTCAGATAACTATCCGACCTTGTGCTATAACATAAAAAAGAACTAAATTTGATTAATAGCGATAATGTCCCCTTCAAAGTACTCTCTTTGGGAAGTTACAATCTTATTTCAGCGATTTTCGGAAACATTCTTTATATTCAAATTTTGGTATAGTTAACAGCCGCTTTGTCACGCTTCTTTTTGCCCTTCAAATCTTTTCCACAAATTTGGCCGTTTCATTTTCATTGCGAGTAATAGTTTCAAAACTTCTTTGTAATACTCTTTATTTACCGTCTTTTATTATTAACTGAGGTTTATTAATTAAAACTCGAATTAGTTACATATTTTTAGCCGTTATTTTGGGTTTTCCAGAACGAGATTTGCTCTTAACTGATGTACGACCACTTTTAAATCGTTTAAGTTATTCTTTAATCTGTGTATTATTTATGAATTCATTGCCATATACTTTACGAATGATATAGATGGTTTCCGAACACGAATGAATGATATTTTGGCAACATTTAATGCACACTCTTTGTTCATTATGTATAATCATCGTGAAATACGACGTGCATGAAATTCAACATTTACTCAAAAGTGTACCATTGTCAACTGAAGACTTGAAGGTGCTGCCTGGCACTTATAAAGATCCCTTTTTAACACTAGATTTACCAGACCAGTCATTTTGACTAGTCATGCAATTTAAATTCAAAATTACTACTGTAACATTTGCTTTCCGAAATGATGTTGTGATTTTTATAGCTACAAATAGAGAATACATTTTATGAACTTAATATTACATTATATGTAATAGTAACAAATATATTTTTTGTTATTGACACTTATACCAGTACCAGTCAAAATGACTGGTGCACGTTTCTATGAAGAAATTCTGTAAAAAAAAGACATTGGGGAAGCTATAACAATTGATGTACTGCAATTGGGTACTGCAATGTTTTATCGACACAGAAATATGATTTCTGGAGAATAATGAGACCGATGCATTACATATGGCGATTTTACTGAGATTCTGCAATATATTTGTTTCGACAAAAAAAATCAGAGGAGTCGACGTTTGCAAAGAGACAAATTCGCTTTAGTCTCATCAATTTGGGACAAATTTATTGAAAACAGTCAAAATTGCTTCAAATTGGGAGCTTATATTACCGTGGATGAGCAACTCTTTTCAATGAAAGCTAGATGCAGATTTACCCAGTATATGCCAAACAAACCCCATAAATTTGGCATAAAATTTTGGCTGGCGTCTGATGTACAGACGAAATATGTGGTAAGTGGGTTTCCGTATTCAGGAAAAGACGAGGCTCGAGATGCATCAACCCCCCTAAGTGAATTTATTGTAATGAAACTTCTTGAACCGTATACCATGACGGGTCGAACTGTGACAACCGATAATTTTTTTACAAGTTTTTCTTTAGCGTTAAAATTAAGATTTAAAAATACCTCGTTGCTTGGAACAATACGCGCAAACAAGAGGGAAATGCCGAAAACCTGCAAACTGAAAAAAGACGGCATAGCTCGTTTCTCAACGTTGTTATATCAATCCAATGGATGCACACTTACCGTTTACAAGAGCAAACCAAATAAAAAAATACTTATACTAAGTACAAAGCATAAACACGTCACAATTGATAAAACTGTTAAGAAATTACCTGAAACTGTATCGTTTTATAATAGAACTAAATTTGGCGTCGATGTCACTGATCAAATGGCACGAAAATATACCGTGAAATCAAGTTCCAGAAAGTGGTCACTTCGAGTCTTCTTCAATATTTTAGATTTAGCCGGAATAAATTGCTGGATATTGTACAAAAATACAACAGGAGAAAATATCACACGTAAAGACTTTTTGTTTCGATTAGCAGAAGAGCTTGCTTCAGAATATCAGACTTCAAGGTAAAAACCACACGAAGTCGACCTACCAACTACAAGTGGCACGGTTCCTGTACGCAAATGGTGTCAAATAGGATATTGCAACAACAATAAGACTACAAAAATTTGCAATACATGCAAAAAAAGTGTATGCGGAAAATGTACACACAGAAAAATCTACATATGTAAAAATTGTGATAGACAAACTGTAAACAATTGAGCGTTTTGTTTCTTGATAATGTCTGTGAATCTATTTATCTATTAAAATCGATATTAATCAACTTTTTTGTCATGTTTTAAGTATGAATAAAAATTGGAAGCCTTAATAAGGATTTTTTTTACACCAGTCATTCTGACTAGTTTTGCTAGAAATAGTATATTAAAATAGCCGGTATATGTTAATGATGAATACCTATTTTAAATAATAGTATATTTAGATAAAAAGTCAGAGCACAAGATCAGATAGCTATCTGACAGATTACGTGTGTGTGTAGATATATATTTACTATATTATATTATTATATATTATTATTACAATAATGTGGAATATGGTAGGGTGTAAGTGAAATATAATTGAATTCTCCATGGTTTACTTAAGACTGTCTTTTCGTGGTTTTTTTCTCATGAACGCCCAATAGTCTTTTTTATTCATACTCACATTCATACATATGCATTCGGTAATCCTTATCACTTTTTGTCCTATTCTTTGTTTCGTTGCCTCTCTCTCTCTCTCTCTTTCTCTCTCTCTCTCTTTTTTCTCTCTCTCTCTCTTTCTCTCTCTCTCTCTTTTTCTCTCTCTCTCTTTTTCTCTCTCTCTCTCTTTCTTTCTCTCTCTCTCTCTCAGCTCCTTCTTTATCTTTCATCAACAATGCACCTTACAAAGGTGCATGACAGATCTCTCTGTTCGACTGCTGATCGATTTGTTATATACACACAAACACAGTTAACTAACTCTAGAACCTTACATCCCTTGTCTAACTGTCTATAGGCTTATCTCATATATACACACACACATATCCTACAATAATAGTAATAATAGTAACAATATAAAATAAATTACTCCTATAGAGGAAACCTTAAAAAAATAGTGCTGGGAGAAAAACCTCGTAGATAATGTGGAAACGAACTCGTGTTTTGATCTTTATAAAAATAGTATATAATATATAAGTGTATGTTCATTAATTATTATATTGGAAAAAAAATCGATGAAAGTATATACTTTATATGCATTTGTCATTACACCAAATTATACTGCTGCTATGTCCTATCTAGCACGTATCACCGTAAAACTAACGTCAATCATCAGTGGAAGAAATAAATATAGGAGATTGGATAGTAACACCTTATTAAACTGTCAAATAATGAAAAAAAAAATAAATTTGTTGATAATTTTCATTTACATGAAGTAAAGAAATCACTGGAATCATTTGGCCTCGAACCTACGATTCCTGAATTAAAAATAACAGTTATATAGTATTATGTAGCTTTTACCTAGTAGGCTTTATTTAGTTTTTTGGCCTTATATGAAAAAATATTCATTTTCCTTACATGGTATTCTGTCTTTGTCGTAGTTCGATATTCAGTACATGTTACGTAACTTATAATAATAGTTACATCTGAATGTAGACGAAACTACGAAGAAATATACGATCGTAATGTTCTTTCATAATTTCCCTTTGTGTGTATAAATATATAGTATATAATGTAAGAATTTTACCATGTTTTCGTTTAATTCATTGAATAATTTTAGGGCTTGATAGATTTTGTACTCAGGTAATTTGTACTCAATTTTAAAAGGCCCATTATGGCTTCCAATTTTTGTCAAGTCCTTGATAAGGATGTTGTATATAAGTTGCAATTTATAAAAAGATATAGCTAATTGTTTAACATAGTCAATAAAGTAGAGTAGATCCGGTTCCGGTGTATCTGTTTGAGATAGGATCACTCTAACTTTTATTCTAGTATTTATGTAGGATTTTAAAATGTGTGTGTGTGTGCAGCATTACACCATACTACGCTGTTGTAACTACGGTGCTACGTTGGCAGCAAAAATTATATGAAAAAAGGACTGTCGCATACAAACAAGAAAATACAATGCTTTTAGCTTGGAGGGATAAGAGGATAGTATTGTTATTGAGCAACTGGCATAATGCTGAAATGATAACCATTAGAAGATTTATACGAGGTGGTATAAACGAAGTAATTGAAAAGCCAAGTGTAGTTGTCGGGTACACAAAGTCGATGGGTGGAGTTGATCGGGCTAATCAATATGCCTCTAGTTAATGTTTTTTGAAGAAATCGCTTAAGTGGTGGCGGAAATTGTTTTTCTGGGAATGGAGATATCAATAATTAATTCATACATTCTCTATAAAACTGTACAGCGCAATAAAAATGAGAAAGCATTGATGCAGTTACAATATAGAAAAATTTTAGTCGATCAATTCGTAGGAGATTTTCGTCACGATAGAACAAGAGTTTCTACATCAATTTCTGAAATCAGACTAAACGGAAAACTTCACATAATGAGAAAAGGTGCAAAGAGGGATTGCGTTGTGTGCTCTAAAAGGAAACAAATGGATAGTAGACGTTAAACAAATGATTACTATGACACTTGCCCAAGTAAATCCAGAATGTACATGGAAGATTGTTTCCAAAGATATCACACCATGGTGAATTACAAAATTTAAAATTGATCTTTTATTTACAATAGGAAAATGCATATTTATAAAACAAATAAAATCAGATGCATTCACAAGGATGTGTAATCATTTCCACTCAAAATAAGGCTTCCTTTATCTCAGGCGTTCTGCTCCAAAAATGTGCCGGAGTTGCTGGTAGGCAGTACTCGAGAAATACGCGGAGCGTTAAGGGTTAATAATTTTTTAACTATATTATATATGCACATCGGCCGACCACCGGAAAAGAACTCGAACAAAAACTGGTATAACAATGTGATATGACTTAATTTGTCATAAAATATTTTACTACTCAGTTTTATTGACGAATCTAGATGGTTGCTAATGTGCTACACATTGCTTATAGAATTTCTGCGTTTCTAATCAATAAAATATAAAAGGAACCATAAATTTTTTTTAATTTTAAGAACATCTTAGAAATTTAGATCCGTTGATATGAACGACTGGACATATATTTCCTTATTTTTATCATAGTTATCATCTGTCCAAAGCTCATTAAAATGCCCGAGTGAGTTACCTTGGTTTCTCCGTGGAGCATGCGCGCACCCGCACACAACACATATATACAAAGTTCAAATCTAAAAAAACAAAACTAAAAAAAACAAGAATTCAAATATAGAGGTTTTCTGCATATTATTATAATATTTTTCTTGGTAATAATAATAGTACTGAAAAATAATGAAAAAATATTAAAAAAAAACTGGCGTCTTGTGATACGGCGCTTAATTTGTATTTTTTCTTCTAAAATATACGTTTATTTGACTCTTTAAATAGAACATACAACTAGAAAATAAATATAATTAATTTTTAAAACAATGTAAAAAAAACAGAATAACAAAGGACGAAACCATAAACCTCACAACTAATGGCTCCGCGTGAGCTCTTCTAGTCTATCTTAATATTCGGTCTAACAATTGCACTTAACACATTGCGCGCCGGCTCCGCGATAATACGGGATTTTTAATTCATCGCTTGATCGCCGGATTTTTTGCCTGTATATATGCTTGTCTTACATATCAATGCGTATGCATTTGCCATCGTTTACTTTACTTAGCTACTCATTTTTCAGAAACAAGCAAATGAGGCCGGTATTCAGACTTTTAGTGGCTGATATTTAGCCGGTGTGCAATGTGTTAAGTCTATATGTTAACTCCTATAGTTTTAAGTGGAATTCGTTAAGCGCAAATCATTAAGTGCAATCATAGCCTAGAATATTATAGTATATAGAAAAAAGGCGAAAGAAAAATTGGACTATCAATTTCTAATATTTAGGCTTAGACTAATTGCTTGGATTTACATTACGGTTTCGATATTCGTATTTATATATAGGAAGATCTATATAGCTTTTGCTGTATCCGCCCAAGCAGACAGGAAAGGAAAATAAGAGGAAGTAGAGATGGCGATGAAAGGAAGAAAAGAGGGATTTGGAGAAAAGGTAAATATGATGTAAATTCTGGTTATAACCATCAATATTCTTTTTTGTATTTTTACTACTGTAATTTAACCATTTGCGGACCACAAGCCACTTTCGCGCTCTTCAGATTTTGTGTCGAAAAAAGCCAGGGTATTTGGTCGAAACAAACAACTGACGGCCCACCCGAAATTTGTCGAAACGCGCTCAGCCTTTGCGTGCGTTGAAGTTATCACCGTATATTTGATAAAATAAGTTACAATTGTTTATGTGTTTCGTATAATGATGTGTAGTAGTTAGTCGTTGACTGTTTCTGAAGGAGTGATGTATAATAAGACTTGAGAGCTTAGATGTCGTGAGTCTGAAAGATGTAATTTGACTGAATTTTTAGTGTCTTTAAAACTATCCACGAAGACTGTAGTGAGATTAGGAAACGGAATAAAAAGGGCGGAGTTGAAGTATGATCTGAGCATGGAAAGGGAAAGAATAAATGCCCATTGACTGGGGATAGTTATATCCTCCCCCAATATGCCCCCTTTGTTCTAGTGATCATATAGATTAGAGGGTGTCAATGGATATTTCAAAGCTAGGCGCCAGACAATCCTTGGCTTGTCACGCCTAGGTGTCTACTTTCACTATTTATTTATTGGCCGGCTTGACATATTATTGAAACCTAGATACTTTACTAAGAATGTCTAAACCCAAACAAAGGTGGCCATGTGTTTTTTATCTATGCGCTTTGTTAGCTAATATCCAATAGGTTTCCAAGGGTAAATATTTCTAATGGTGATATATGATTCTTAACAGATTGAATGCCACGCCAATTTTACCAGGATTGTCCGTGGCATCACGATGAATTTTCTATTTAGCGATACATATAATGTTGAAATATTATCTGCAATAGATAAGTTACAGCGTATAAACATGTTTGGCATGTTAATTGCGGCGGGGATCACTGGTGATCCCTGTGACGCTGGAGTACGATTTCGCGCGATCGTCAATTATCTCATATTGCTTCTTCGCGTTGTTGAGTAATAATGTCACGATTTTATTATTACTGGAGTGTTAAACAATCAGGTAAGAACCTCTATTATATACTTATATACTTATATACTCTATTATTTATATACTACAAAAATTTTTGTATTTCGTATCTCCTATTTAATTTTTTAGTTAGCCCATAAAGTTATGATTTCAAATGAAGATTCTGCGTCAAGCAATTCAACTGATGATATATTTTTACCAAATCCTTCCAAACGATGCCAAGTGTTGTCAGATAGTGAGGAAAGTTCCTCGAGCAGTTTGTCTGATTTGATAATATCATATTCAGTACGTCGCCGTCGAATTGAATCATATAGTGAAAGCGAATTTGAAGATGACGGTAATAATGACGAAAATAATACACAAGAAGAGGTACGTGATATAAATTCGCATATACCTTCGTGTAATTAACCAAAGATTATATTTTCTAATTCATTGGGGATAAATACACATTATTCTAAAATTTTTTAATTTACTGAACCGCATAGTTTTTATTGTTTTTTTGTTTCGAATGAAATATTTGAAATAATTGCAAACCAAACAAATAAATATGCTGCGAAAATAGTATCAGAACAGCGATCACGTCATCTTGATAGATGGATTGAAACAAATCCAAATGAAATAAAAAGATTTTTTGGCTTAATTATATGGATGAGATTAGTGCAATTACCCAAAATTCATCTTTATTGGAGTAGAAATGAAAAATATTACCAGATATTCCCAAGTACAGTGATGCCAAGAAATCGATTTGAATTACTTTTATGGTTCATTCATTTTAGTAACAATGAAGAAAACGATTCTAGTAATAGATTATCCAAAATTATTTACATTATCGACATATTAAACAGAAATTTTAAAGAATACTACAATCCAGATGAAATATTATGCATAGACGAATCATTGGTTCCCTTCCAAGGCCGCATAATATTTCGACAATATTTGAAACTGAAACCGCATTGATATGGAATTAAAGTTTTTAGATTATGTTGTGGTGCAGGATATATTTATTCTTTTCAAGTATACTCGGGAAAAGAAAAAAATAGAGATAAAACAGCAGGAACCGTATCGTCCGAGATTGTAATGTCTCTTTGCAAAGATATATTGGGTAAAGGGCATACTGTCTGCATAGACAACTGGTATACGAGTGTTGATCTGGCAGAAAAGTTAATAGCAAAGAATACACATTTAATGGGTACATTATGGAAAAATCGACGTGGAAATTCAGTAGAAGTAGTATCCAAAAAATTAAAACGTGGAAAACTCATTGCTCGCGAAAATAAATTCAGAATAACAATTTTAAAATGGAAAGACAAGAGAGACGTATTGATGTTTTCAACGAAATATTCGGCAGAAATGACTACTGTACATAAGAAATTTTATTTGTGTGAAAAACCAAAAATGGTTGTGGAATATAATCTAGGAAAATCATTAGGCGATTTATCAGACCAAATGATAGCTTAATTATAATTCACCACTACGCAAAACTTTAAAGTGGTATAGAAAATTAGCAATAGAACTGTTATTGAATACATGTATGATAAATTCAATGATATTATTCAAACAGGTAACAAGTAAAGATATTCAAATTTCCGACTTCAGAATGAAAGTTGCATTGTATTTAACAAAATGTCGTGATAATGATGCTGAAGTTTCCATTTCTCCACGTGAAAGCTTGCTAAGAAGACCACGACATGAATTAAAAGCAATGCCGGGAAAAGCTCGAATGGTGCGAAGATTTTGTAAAATTTGTTACCAAAAAAATTCAAGGAAGCTAGGAAGAATAATTGCAAAAAACTGTAGTAAAAAAGTCGTGACATATTATAAAGACTGTGATGGTTCACTCTTTCTTTGTTTAGAATGTTTCAATACGATACATCGTAACGTGCGCGCATAATAAAACTATATTACATGTATAAATAAAACTATTTTCAGATGTTTTATACTGCATTCATTTTTTCACATCACTACATCAACTATGATAATAATAAAAAATTATAAGTATTGTCATTTGTCTAAATTTTTTATTTTTTTTTCAATCTGGGTACACCGGTTACCGATGGCCCCCATGGCATCACAGCCAAGTTAAGTGTCGGTCACCGGTGACCCCCGTGGCATTTAACCTGTTAATACTCATAACATCATTCCGAATAATAAATTTGGATTTAAATCTAATTTATCCACTACGCATGCTATACACGAACTAACTTCCGATCTGAATAACTATTTACATAATGAATACGCTATTGGTGCTGTACTATTAGACTTAGAAAAAGCGTTCAACTTTATATGGAAAAACAGACTTATACATAAGCTAGACGACTATAAATTTCCTATGGGTTTAATTCTACTGATTGCTAACATGATTGAGGGGAAGATATTTCGCACGTGGGACGGCACCAATTTCTCATCGAAGCCCTTCAAAATAACAGAGGGGTTACAGCAAGGAACCGTCACATCATCAATCCAACATATTCAACATATTCAACAGTGAACTAATCAACAAGTTTGGCATGAACAACTCGGATAAATGACACTTAATCGCTTATACAGACGATTTAATAATTTATAAAGCAGACAAGGATGTAGATAAAATCAGATACACATTACAGGCAGTTATCAACGATATAAATAGTTATTACAAAAACTGGAATTTAAAAATCAACCCAAGTAAAAGAAAATTAATTTTTTTCAGAAGACAAATCAAATCAAATACTCTGCAGTTAAAAAAATAGATAGTTTAAAATTAACAGCTATTGATATCCACACCAACGAATTAACTGAGATACTAAAGAAACGCGTCGTGAAATATTTGGGAGTTCATCTAGATCATCTGTTAAGAATGAATAAACATTACTCGATTCAATTAGATAAAGCAAAAAAAGTTTTCAAGCTGAATTTGAGAATTTTTTACAATAAAAATCTTGCTACTAAAGCCAACATAATATGCTATGGACTACTGGTGAGACCTATTTTAACTTATGCAGCTCCTACATTATGGAATATAGGTCCAACTATAATGGAAAAAATAAGAAGATTTGAAAGATCTTGCTTGAGATCATGTCTAAGAACGCACAGAACCGCTTAATCAGATTATAAAAAGAGAATAAAAAACGAGACCATTTACAATACCAACATCAATAGAATTGATTGTTTTTCTCTCAAAATAACCAGAAAATATTTTAGTAACATTGATCGTATAAACAATAGCTTAATTACAGACCTTATTTCACAAGAAGAAGATTCAATTCTGAGTAAATTAAATTCAGGCTACATTCCATTGGAACTATTCATTTATTGTGATAAAAATGGTCTAATCCAAGACCACAATAATTTTCCACTAAATTATTATCGCCGAAGACACTCAGCAAGAAAACAAATCAATAGTATCCATGATGAAGATAATCAGGAGAACTACGTTTTCTCAAAAGCACAATGTAATTGTGGAATTATAGTGGAAACAAACACGCGATTGGAACAAATGCCTAGCTTTTTTTATACGACAATATGGTCTAGCGAATAGAGAACATCAAAATTTCACAGAGTATATAATAGAGATTATTATGTGTTATAAGTGCTAGTTTCAACAAAGTGAACAGAGCCAACAATATTTTGTGGTATGTTTACATTTGAATTTTTTTTATATTCTCCATCTTTTTGCTCCGTTTGATTTATATTTTATATTTTAGTTTTTACTTTATCATTTGTATATTCATCCCCAAAAATGTCAAGACATTTGAGGAATATCAATTTATTAGGCAAAATAAATAATATCGACGAGGATTGTTCGGAAAATAACCAAGAAGTTTCCGATATTGATAATAATACAGAGGAAAATAATTATGATTTATTTGACAGCGATACGGACGAAGAGAATATTTTGAATATAAGAAGAGGACAAAAGAGAAAGAGATTTATAGTTAGTTCCGAAAGTGAGAATGAAGAAGAGATTGGAATTGCTACGGACGGAACTGTTCGGCAAAAAATAAAAAAAGGGTTTAATCGTGGAAGAACACCGATTTATAATATTTTCAAAGAAATATCAGGATCGGCAAGATACGCTAAACGAAATATTATAAAGGGTAGAGTTGAGTCGACATTTTCCTTAATTATTGATCATAACATGATTAAACATGTAAGAAAATATATGGAATTAGAGGCAATTCGAGTGTTAAAAACGAAATGGAATTTATCTATTGCAAAATTATATGCATTTATTGGACTTCTATTTGCGCGTGGCGCATATGAGATAAAAATATGGATTAATCACATTTATAGAACAAGAAATGGGGTCCGTCATTTTTCTTGATAACTATGAGCCTAAATGACTTTACAGAAATCATGAGATTTATTCAGTTTGACAACAAAAATTAATGAAGTCAACGTTTACAAAACGATAAGTTCGTTTTGATCTCTGAAGTTCGGTACAAATTTGTTGAAAACAGTCAAAACTGTTATAAACTAAGAGCATATTTTTCTACAGATGAACAATAGTTTCTAACAAAAGCACGTTGTAGATTTACTTAATATGTGCCCAATAAATCTGGTTGGTTTCCGACATAGGTAGTAAGTATATAATAAACGGCTTTCCATATTTGGGAAAAGAGGAAGGGAGAGAATCATCGGTTCTACTTGGGAAGTTTGTAACTTTTAGATTAGCAGAACCATATACAGGTCATGAGAGAATTATAACAACTAACAATTTCTTTACAAGCTTGTCATTAGCGAGTAAATTTCAAGCAAAAAAAATTACGCTTGTTGGAACTATTCGTAGAAATGAAATGGAGCTACCAAAATTAGCGAGACAGGCAAAGGTTAGTATGACATGCTTCTCAACAATATTATACAAATTGAATGATTTTATTCTTACAATTTACAAAGCTAAACCCAATAAAAAAGTATTGATAGTTCAATGCATTTATCCGTTGAAATTGAAAAAAGTGACACTCGTATTCCAGAGACAATTAGATTTTACAATAGCACAAAATTCGGTGTAGATGTAACTGTTCAAATGGTCAGAAAATATTGTATAAAATCTAAATGTCAAAGCCTTTACAGGTATTTTTCAATATCTTATATTTAGCCGGGATATATGCTTGGATTTTATATAAAGAAACGACGGGTAAAGAAATATCGAGGCAAGAATTTTTATTTCAATTGACAGAAGAGCTTGGGACCGAATATCAGAAGGAGAGACACCTAAGCAAAGAATATTCATCAGAAACAATAACAAATACAGTTATAAATATGCTATATAGATATGAAATATCATCTGGACGGAAATAAGATATTATAAAGTCAATAAGAATAACAAAATTTGTATAAAATGTAAAAGATACGTATGTGGAAAATGTGCAATACAATATATTGTAATTTGTAAAAAATGTGCTGAAAATGCATAAATGTAAATAAACTTTTCTAAATTGAAAACAAATATTTTGTTTACTATCCAATTGGCTAAAATCTCTATCTATATTAAATTTTGAAACGGTCATTTGATCGCTCATGGTAGGATTAGGTATACATGAAATGTCAATAGGTTTAGTGTTAAAGCGGATTGAAAACAGCAGACTTAAGAACTAGTTAAAAATTATTTAAAAACGAATTATCTATCCAAAAGACATAAACACAAAGTTAAATTTATCTGAACCATAATATCCACTCACGATATGAAAGAAATGAAGAGCTACCAAATAATACCCTGCAATAAAAATTAGCAATACAAGTTCAGAAGAGGAAGAAATATCTGACATTAAAGCAAAGAAAAGTTAGGAACAGAACTTTTAAAAATAACGAGAAAAAATTCTACAGAAATTTCAAACAAAACCCAGAAATAATAATGGTCCTAATGATCTTTTTCCCATAGAACGAGTTGATGAGTATTGGTCTTTACTTTGATCTGCTGATGAAAAACATAACAATTCAAGATGGATAGAACAAAAAATACAAAGACATATGAGCCTGCCAGTAATGGGACTCAATCGATTAGATTAGCAACATTCAACTGAAAGAAGCATAATTGGAAAGTCCCTGGACCAGACAGAGTATACAATTTCTGGTACAAGCGACTTACTATATACACGGAAAAATAGTAGAACTATTCTCCGAATGCCTCAAATATTCTGATTTATTCCCAGTTTCCTTAATCCAGGAAATTACTTACTACTGAAGTCGATAACATTCAATGGTGATCCATCAAAAGGCAGACCAATAACCTGTTTAAATACTATCAATAAAATAGTTACAGCATGCATTTCCAACGTCATATATGAACACCTAGCAACAAACAATATCATGGCAGAAAAGCAAAAAGAGTGTGTCAGCAAAAGTGTGTAAAAAATAATTAACTATTGATCAAGTAGTACTAGATTAAGCAACTAAAATCTCCAGAAATCTCTATGCTTGCTATATAAATTATCAAAAATGTTTTAATTCCTTTCCTCACTCATGGTTTCTAGAAATTCTGCCTATATATAAAATAAGTCCAACTATTATAAACATTCTTTGTCATCTCTTTCTTAATCATTCTTTGAGACATCACCAAGTCTCAAGTCAATAGCAAGATCAACAACCGCGTTATTATTCATATGCTTCTGAACCTGTAATTGAAACAGAAAACATTAAAATATAATATGATAAAAAAATACACACCGGCCATACCAGAGAACACAACAGGCCAGACATAACAATAGTAGCCATCCTAATTGAATAGCTGTATTTCTCAGCCGTAATATGATTAGAATTCATCATGAAAAAATATCAAAATACTCGGAATTAGTTGTAGAGATAAAAACAATGTGGAATTTAAACATTGTCCGAATAGTTCTAGTCATATTGTCAAGTATTGGCATCATACCAAAGATTTTTAAAGATGATCTTACTTCATTACACTTGGAATCAAACGTAATATCAAAAATGCAGAAGGCAGTTATTATTGACATCCGCCACACAGTCAGAACATTCCTGCAGTAAATCATGCATCAGTCGGACTAAGGTCTCTGGAGCATTAACAAGAATCTAACCATAATAGTGTGTCTTCAACACAAAAATAATAGTAATAATAATAGATACTAATAATTTATTTTTGCAAAAATAAAACGAAAAGAAGTAATAAAGATAAGACGTGCACGAAATTGATATGAATTATTGACTATACAAATGTAAATAAAAATGCATAATAAGATAAAAAGTCAATGCGAGTAAGTTGTTATTGAACATTTACGCGACGATGAAAATATATATGTAAATGTATGTATGTCAAAAAAAATAGTAAATATATACAATTGCAATAATATTTACCACTATTGCCGTAAATTTACATTTATTCACGAGAATGAATTGTAAGTACGAAAATGAAGGTAATTGTGATAGCACTGTCTGCGAAATTATAGCTTTTCGTGTAACGTTTACTTCAAGTTAGAATATAAAAAGCAACGAAATAGGAAGGAACGTCACAGATATCGTTTTAGTATTATATCTCCATTGATAGTACCCAAGTCTTCTTTTTCTTTAAGACCATCATCGTTATGAAGCTAGGTATTTCCAAAACTCAAACTTTTGTACTAATTTTTTCTCTATTTTCCTCTATTAATTTCTAATAATTTTGTTTACAGGTAATTTTTTTTCAATACTTTGCATGCTACTAAAGATCATAGAATCCAAGAATACTGTCGATTTCAATTGTGACTACAACCAAGAATTAAAACCAAATGTTAATTATTATGTGTATAATCCTGATTATCCAAATTATTACATGGGAGAGCATAATTGTTGGTGGCGTGCTAGGAGCAGTGGTCGAATTAAATTGAATTGCACAATTTTCGATATTCCTCCAGTAAGATCTCACTTTATTATTAATATTGTTATTACTATTATTAAATAAGTTTGTTATGTGTAATTTCTGGGATAAATCGATCAACACCTTGTTAATAAAATAAATTCAGTTCGGATTGTATGCAAAAGTTGAACAAAAATAAGTCAATGATTTATTGGACTTTACTAAAACGTGAAAATTAGACAAAATAATAAATAAATTCCATCATCAATAGAGTTCAAATTGTTCATTGGATTTTATGAAAGTCAAAGTCGACGATGACATCGAGTACGTTTTCTGTGGATTAAATTCGTTCACAGTGGAATCGATAGCATCGAAAATGACTATAAAATTCCATTCGAGATACAATACTTATGGAGGCAAATTTCGATGTATTCTCAGAGTAGTCAAAGAGGAATGTAGATGTGGTTGGAAGAATCCGGTAGGTAAACATAATTAGAACACAATTCATCGATGATTTATTTAATGATCTATTAATGATATTTCAAATGTTTGTTTACAGTCGAGAATCGTAGGCGGTGTTGAAACAGGAGTAAATGAATATCCTATGATGGCTGGTATAGTACATCTTGATACACGTTTTCTTTATTGTGGTGCAACTATAATAACTCCACAACATGTATTAACGGCGGCTCATTGCGTTGCGTTGTATAAAAAGAGTTTATATATTTTAGGAGTTATTGTTGGAGAACATAATATACGGACAAGTACGTTTGAACAACTAAAAATTTTGAATAACAAATTTGTTTAAAATCAAATTATTGAAATTATTGTTGTTTTGGTTTAATGTAATCTTTAGTTAATAATACAAAGACGACTCGACTTTACCTTATCGATGATATAATCGTACATCCGAATTATAGGCCAAAATTGAACGATTTAGCGGTTATTAAATTGCAGAAGAGATTAGAATATTCCATGAGAATTGGTCCAGCTTGTCTTCCGTTTTATTACACGTGGCGAAACTTTACAGGCACTGTTGTTACAGCTGTAGGTTGGTATTTCGAGTCTTTATTTTTATTTTGTATAATAAATATTATAAAATAATTTTCATAGGTTGGGGTCATACGAATTTTTATGGTATCAAGTCTGACGTTTTAAGAAAAGTCGATTTGCATGTAATTTCAATGAAGGAATGTATCAAGTATCACTTTCTGGCTACATGTAAGCAACTTTGTACATTTGATATAGGAAAGGATGCTTGTCAGGTAAATTTGATTGATCGATTTTTATCGATTATTAAATAAAAAAAATAATCTTCAAACGTTTTAATCATACAGTTCGACAGTGGTGGTCCAATTTTATGGCAAAATCCAAGAAGCAATCGTGTTTTTCTTCTTGGAGTTATCAATTATGGAAAAACATGTGCCGATGAAGCTCCTGGTGTTAACTTAAGAGTTACTAGTTATTTAGATTTTATTAGAAGGTCAACACCTGGTAAGATTTTCAAATTTTAATTCCATCGATTCATAACA